AACTGTTTTCTGCACCAAGATTATTTATGTATGTCTGCTTTTAAGCTGATGTTTTTTATAAAAGAATCACAAATAAGGAACATTTAAAATAATGTTTTTATTACAACATTCTGCTTATTATTTATGGTGGCTAGAATTATGCAACCGAGAAATAAAACATCAAGGCCAATGATATTCCATACAAAATCCATATTCCATACATTACATTGAAATAATCAACTATGAATTTGCTTTTATATATAAGAGCATGATGTACTTTCTTCATCAATATGGGATTTTCTTTCTTGACATTATGTGCATAACCTATACCATAAAACAAATTTCATGGAATTAAGGTAATTGGGAGGTATAACCATTTTTAGAAGATGTGGAAGTATAGGCAACATTTGGTTACTGTTTGCAAGACATTTTCATCTGACTTGCCAAGTAGCTCTACCACATTTTGATTTCTTGCTGATGGGAAATGAATATCTGCATTCACCTTACTGTAGTTGTCAGGCAGATAAAACAAAATAAAAGCCCATTCTATTTACCTATCATTTTTGTTTTCTTAATAGGACACTATTTAGCCAATTGAAAATTCTGCCGATGTCAGGGAAAATAAATTTGAAGTTAACCAAATTTCATTTTTACAAATTATACAGTTCTAAAAATGTGGAAATAATTTTTGGGTTAGATTGCTAGGATGTGTAACTAAATTTTGCACTGTGGAATACCAGTCCTTTCATTCCAGATTCCTTAACAGTGAGCCAACCTTCTTTTGACTATTAAGGATGATCCACATTGGAGACTCCTAGATCTCTCCCTTCCATTTCCTTCCTTCCTTCCTTCCTTCCTTCCTTCCTTCCTTCCTTCCTTCCTTCCTTCCTTCCTTCCTTCCTTCCTTCCTTCCTTCCTTCCTTCCTTCCTTCCTTCTGAAGCAATCTATTGTTATCCTAGCTGCCTTCTGTCCTGAAAGGGACTCAGTGTGGAAGCCCCATAATAGTTCACAAGGTGGAAATCTGGTTGTATTTTAAATATTCATTGTAAAGCTATTAACTGATAGGTATAACCAATGAATTGGTCAGATCTGGTTGTTTAATCTGATTTTATTATCTTTCTTGGTGATAGGGAATAGTACTGTTAAAGAAGTATGGTAATGAAAAAAAATCACAGTGATGAAGAATTACTATATACCGTACTGGGAATTTGCAGAAAATTGTAAATTAAAAAATGACTATTCTTTCTGGTAGATTAAAGTTTTTTTTAATGGACACTTAAATATTACAGTCTTCTCTTAGATTATGTAGAGATATTAACCTGAAATGCAATTTGTGAATTTCACATTTAAGTTTCACATCACAAGGAGAAAAAAGATCTGTGGTATGATGACAATAGCCCATCAGGCAAAAGATTTGACTGAAACTCTTCTCCTAGTAGAGTGTGCATAGCTAATTATTACACACCATATGTAATGCTGTGATATAAAGTAGAACCCTTCTCAAATCATGTACTCAGGATCAGCTTGAAGGACTGCCCATGTGTAACAGAACATTCTACTTAGGACAGAAATCACAAATTTATCCAGTGTTTGTTTGACTAATTAGCAGTTCCATGGAGAACAGTGCTGACATTGTTCTGGTAAAGTCCCCCTCCCCCGATTCCCCTTAAGCTGCTCTTAGTTCAGATGTAGAAAAGAGATAAATTGCTGTTGCACCACCATCATTGCTGCTGAAGAGAAATAGCAGATTTCGAATGGATGGGGGTGGAATTTCATAGGGAGAGAGCAGGAGATGAAAGGGCTAAATGTAAGCTTTTAATATAACCCCTTTCTAGCTTTCTCAGATGGGATCTATGAACATTTTGATTTATACAAGGGGAGGATATCCGCTCATGATCAGGTTTAATGTTGAACCTTAGTACTGTAGATCCTTCAAAGGAGGTCTTGTCTTTTGTCCAATGGAGGCTGAAATTAAGGGGACTAATCTACATATTTATCTCTGACTCTTTCCCATGCTCACCATAATAACTTTGCGTTTTGACAACTGAGACCTCCCTTGACCAAATAAATCTATCAGAGCTCCCCAGTCACTGAACCTTTTGAACAGAGGTTTCAAGTTCTTCCAGTGTTTTCAGATTGTTTTTTTGGCAAGCGAACTCTCATACTGAAGATTGAGCTAGAAATACTCATGGAAAAAATAAAACATTGACAGACTTGTGGAGTTTCTGAGGGTGGCATATTCTTTTTATTTATTTCCTTTTATAAAAACACTTTCATTCCTCTTAATACCTGCATAGTCTTGTGACAATTTGTGTGTGCCGTGAATATATTTTTTTTAGGTAATAAGTCACATTACAGGTAGTCCTTGACTTACAACCACAATTCAGCCCAAAACTTCTGTTGCCAAGCAAGACAGCTGTTACGTTTTGCCCCATTTTATGATTTTTCTTGCTATAGCTGTTAAGTGAATGGCTGCAATTGTTAACTTAGCATCACGGATGTTAATAGAATCTGGCTTCCTCATTGACTTTGCTTGTCAGAAGGTCACAAAAGTGATCACATGACCCCAGGACACTGTAACCATCATAAATGTTAATGACAGCATAGAAAATTTAAAAATAAATACAATTAAACAATATAAAGGAGACAGTAAGATGTGAGATCTGTAAGCAGATCCACTTCAAGTTTCCCCATTCTTCTGTTCAGTAGAATCCCACGATGGGGCAAGAAAACAACCTAGTTAACATTCAGTCTTTTTCTTCTTTGTGGGTTTCTCCATTATTCTTTCCCCGTCCTTTTAATTTCCAGTCCTAGAAAATGTACTAGTACTATTTATTATAATAAATGGCTGCTGTTGCAGAAACAGTTTGGAATGGGAATATAATGGGAGGAAAAATGATTACTGGATGTATCCCTCGCCCAATTTAATTCAAGTACCATTATTGCCTCCTTTTACATCTGATCAGAGCTGCCCCAGTGCTTGGTTTATTTTATGCCTTAGATCCACATATTATTATAAATTACAAGCTTCATTTAAGTTGCAAGTCCATAAATTAACAGTAAATATTATATCACAACCACACACACAAACACACACACACACACACACACTATCGACAGATACAAACAACTTTAAAAAAATGATCTAGTGAAAGGCTGCCCCTTGCACTATGATGCCATTAAATTTCCCACTTTTCATTAAATCTAATCATGTTGATTATTGCATACAATTTCATTCTGAAGCCAATTTCTATGGAGGGAACTTTGAATGATTACTAAACATTTAAAGAAACAAACACATTGTTTTAATTAGCAATTTGTGGATAGAAACAGTCTTAGCAACAGTATGCTGTTTCTGTGATAGTCATTAAATCTGATGTAAAAAAATTCACTTCTAGAAAACTTATAAATGGGGAAGCTAGCAAGAGATTCTAGTCATTTTACAGTAACAAGAAAGCTGTAATGATAAGCATATACGTGTTTCTGCATAGACTTTCTCTAGTACATAGTGGCTGCATTTTCAGGGATACCTGCCTTGTAGTAGCTAAACATTCAAACTATTAGTTATGAATAGGAAGCCACAGAACTAGGTAGTACGATGCACAAACTACTTCTTAAGCAAAGCAGCACACTACATCAGCAAATTCTTTGGCCAGGTGATTGGGGTTCATCTATATAAATACCGCAATACATTTATAAATCTTTATACATCTGAGTTAAAATGTATACAGATTTATACATTTTAAAAAATTATGCCACCCTAAAAATATGTACAAATCTTATTCATGGGAAATATACTTCTAAAAAGACTGTTCTTTGCAAACATTAAAAGAGCAATCTCATCAATGCCTTTATGTTTAAATAACAATTTGCTACACTCATATCTTCATTGTATCCTTTAATTAGAATTTCTAAAAAGTTCATCGTTGCTTGTCAATATGGTATCATTTTTATATGTTTATGCTCTTTTTTTCTAGCTAGGTCAGGGGTAGGCAACCTTGGCTCTTTTATGACTCGTGGACTTCAACTCCCAGAATTCCTGAGTCAGCATAGCTGACTCAGGAATTCTGAGAGTTGAAGTCCACGAGTCATAAAAGAGCCAAGGTTGCCTACCCCTGAGCTAGGTCAATGTTATACCATGTCTCTTTTTAAAGTGAATTAAGTTTCAGAACCAAATGACAAACTGCATTTTTAAAGTGCCAACAGTGGGGAAATCTAACTCAGTTAACGCCAAGAGGTTAATAAATACACTTGTGAATGTTGAAAAATAGTACCCTAAATGTAATTAATACTTTAAACTTATTTGGTTTTTAATCACACATTTATGCTTCAAATTTATTTTATTAATATCCTGACTATGCTGAAAAAAATCCCTTTTAATTTATATTATGATTCACAGAACCAAAATTAAAGAGAGCAGGCTTGACAGGGGGAAACTTTTTTAGAAAAGTATTTTTTCCAAAATGTTTTCAATTCCGAAAAGTTCTAATTATAGATTTTAAAATCTATTCACATATTCTAATTCCCGAGGTTGTCTGTGAAGAAAGAAAGGCCAGCAGTTTACCAATGTAATATAAATATGAGCTATGTATTATATCACAAAGATAACTTAGTACGATATACTACTCCAAAATGAGGATTTAGAAATGTATTGTTATTGTAGTACTCATGCATTCTAAGAAGAAAATGCCTTTTGGATGATAAATGCTTATAAGCAGGTACTCCATGGTCTGAGAGATAGTAAAATAGTAAAATAGCAGCACCTATCAATATGGATTGTTTCCAAAATCTCAAAAGCAAGATCATGTTGGCCAAATAAATAAAAGTTAAAATGGCAACCAAAAGTTAATATGGATTGAAGTTTCTATTAGATTCCATGGTTAGAGTACTAACATATCTAACCCAACTGGATTGAATTGCAAGTCCCAGAGATCTTTCAATAACACAGAAGAATGCAACATGCATGAAGGACACCAGGGATGTTAGTAAAAGAAGAATAAAAAAATCAAGAATGTAGCTCTGATTTCTAATTTTTATGTATATCACAATGCAAATAAAAAGGGGGTAGGGTTTTGAGTAGGTGGTCAACTTTTCTTTATTTCCCTGTGGTTGCACTGAAGGCCACCAACTTGGAGAAATCTGTACTAATACTGCTGTCTGTATTCTTCACTTTGTGTGCAGCTTAGATACAGTTTTAATTCTCATATTGTTGAAGAACAACACCATGATTTTTTTAAATTCCCCTCTATAATTTTGCACCTAAATTCTTAGACATAAGGCAACAGAACTTATTTAAGAGAATATAGATTGCCCTGTGAAAAAAGTAGCTATATCATTATAGATACTCTACAATAACACTGTTTTGACTCAATAGCAAAAGGCTGTATCGAATCCAACACATCAGATGTGATATTTCTGCACAAAAAGATCATTAGATTATGGAGATTCATTGATTTAAAAATAAAGAACAGAGAGAAACTGAAGAAAAATCTCATTCAGTGAGTCAGTAAATATTCAGTCAACAGAAAAGGCTTACTTTGAAACCTGCTGTCCTGGTTACCAGCTTCTCCTATAAATAAGATTAACTGCCTCCACTCACCTTAAGCAAAGTTCAAATATAACATAGCTATAATGGATGTGTGCTAGCTAAAAGTTTTGGCAGGAATTATGGTTGCGAAGGTGTTTTTTATCTGCCTTGTTTAGGAGTATTTTTCATCAAACAGCAGCTACCAACGTTTATTAGCAAAAAGCACAAGCTCTATTCCACAAGTGATTTTGATATATTTATGAAAAATACTCAACTGGTGTTGAACACAGAAACTTTAAGTTTCAGACGGTTTGGATTCAGTCTCACAACTGAAATTTAATGAGCGTAAAGAAGTCATTTTTAATTGTATTTCTTGGGCTGGTAGTGCTTATACTGAATCATTTTAACTTACACGAAGGAACTTACATGACGAAATATTCTTCCGTGCCATACCATCCCAGGAAATAAAAACTAGGCATCTGGGAGAAAGGGAAGAAAGACTGAAACAGAATCTTAGATTATTAGCATTCTGAATGGAGGGACTTGGTTTATGTAATGAAAAAAACCCTTAATCTCAAAGTACAGCTTCATTATCACACAGACTTCTATGTTCATATCCAAACATATATTAGGTCGGTGACTAAGCAAATGCTTTGGATACATAAAATCTCAAGTTCAGTTTGATCAGATAGAACCAAAAATTACTCCTGTCAGAAATGTGGATATTTGCTGCCAGTCTTTATAGACATACAGTTGATTTTTTTTTAAGGAAGGTTTTGTCACTTTGATTATCCTTGATACACTAGAGATAGCATTGTTCAACATGGCAGATGAACTAGAATTAAGTTGTCAGAATGTCCAGTTTGCATAATTGTTTGTAGTTCCAAAACTTGGGTGATTCCAGGTTAGGAAAGGCAGTTTTATGCTGCTGACACATAAAATTTTGTGATTTGAGTCACAAGCATTCAAGGTTGGTTACGAAGCTCAACTAAAGTTATTGAGGTCTACAAATAAAGCATCCACTGTTTTTATTCATAATTCTTCATGTTCTAGGATTTATTTCAAAAGAGAATTATTTGGGCATGGAATGAGTTGATAAATCCAACTTTACATGGAGGACTACAAAAAGGTCCAGGCTACTGTAAATGGCCACATTAATATTGTCTAGAAGAACGGCAAAAAAAACCAAAAAACCCCAAGGAAAAAAATGAAGCCATAACTCAACAGCCTTTGGTTTAATTAACCATTGATGTCTCACTACTCAACAGCCTTTGAAAAAAGATGTATATTTTGAATGGAAAGACCTATCTCATAAAATTCTGAGACAGATACTCCAAATCCCTAGTTATCTAAAATGCAGTGATATACCTAAGTATAAAGTAATGCCCTGTGATTTGCTCCCACTATAGCAAATGCCTCTCACAGCATTATGCTAAATCACATTTCTTTTGGAATTCATTTTCTTTAAAATCTTTACAAGAAAGGCAACTCATCCTTATACATTTACATACAGTGTTATCATAGGTCACAGAAAACTGTGTACATACTCTCCATAAAAGGACATATTTCAAATAAAATAGTTATAACATCAACAAACAATAGTGTTCCTTCTTCCCATTAGACGTAATTTCTGCAGACCCCAATTTTTGTACATAAATAGAAGAAAACAGTCTTTAGAATATTTACATCCTATAGGATTTCCTGCGAGTGAATATTTCTATAGCTGTTTTTAAAGTTGTGTTTAGTTTTCATTTTCTCTCCAGCCACGGGCATTCTTCCCAAATTTATATACCAGTCTCCGTCCATCTACACGCTCAAGAATTTCTCTTTTATAATAGTATCTGTTAAAAGGAAATGATTAAATCAGATACATAAAAACTCATTTGCTGACCATTTCCCTTTTAATTTTATTTATAATTGGACTTACAATTTAAACTATTTTCTCATGAAATCAGAAAATAATCCAGTATCTCATCAGGTCTTGAGTTACTACCATATCATAGCCTTTACATAGGCCCATTGCATACAAGGTAGAATAAATACAAGGTTTATGGATATGTTCTAATAAGATTGCCACCTTTAGTCTTGGATGGGATGGCACTGCGCCAAACAGATCCAGCACGGAATCTGGGGTTCTCCTGGCCTCACGAATTTTGCTCGAAAAGCAGGTGACAGTTGTGGCCAGGAGGGCCTTTGCACAACTGCAAGTTGTGCACCAGTTATGCCCTTTTCTGGACCAACAATTCCTATTCATGGTCACTCATGCCTTAGTCACTTCCCGTCTTGACTCTACATGGGGCTGCCTTTGAAAAGCATCCGGAAGCCCCAGTTGATTCAAAATGCAGGGGCCAGCATGGTTTTGTGCAGACCTTAATGTGTCTCTCTTACGAGAGCTGCATTGGTTGCTGATTTGCTTCCAGGTACAATTCAAGGTGCTGGTTGTCACTTTTAAAGGAATGGTCTTTTGCTGATCACATCCACCTGACCCACTAGAGTGGGGAGACAAGGAATGTTGCTGGTCCCATCCCTAAGGAGGAGAAAGGCCTTCTCCATGGTGGCTCCCTGCCTTTGAGAGATCATCCCTTCAGAAATTAGAGTGGGCCCCACTCTATCGTAAGGCCATGAAGACTTGGTTTTTCCAGTGGGCCTGGGGAACCCAGAGTGGGATGGAGGCCATCAAATGGCTTATTTGATCATGTGTTGTAGCCTTATTGTTTTTTATTTTTATTTGGTTCTTTTCTATACTGTGTTTTTTATTGTTTGTAAGCTGCCTGGACTTGCTGTGAGCGAGTAGGCGGCTATATACATTTTCTAAATAAATAAACAAAATGTTTTTTTTTAAAAAACCCATTTATTGAAAGAAAACTACAAAACATCTATATCTAAAACCTGCAGTTACAAATTACACCCATTGAATGCAAAATCCCTTGAACGTGATATGCAAGTTTGTCTTTATCTAAGGAACTTTGGGCAGGAAGTGAAACTGACCAACGAGCTTATGCTGTTCCTATATTAAGGGGAAATCATATTAATATCTGAAGTACGATACACAGATTATTATATTGAGAAGTAATTGGAACTGTAAATGTTTCTGATGATTCAGGAAGACTTGCAAAGTCTGTACATGCCACTTTTGTGGGACTTAAAGACAAATGGTGAGTCATTGTTTAGTGAAGGAGTCGACACTTTTTCATAACTGACAAAATCTCTCTGTTCATGTAAAGACAATTTGGCAGTCTTTCTAGCTATATAATGTGGTTTTCCAGGTGAAGGGGGAGGAGCCCTCAGAGCTAGGATCATAGATTTCCCATCTTGCCACATCAATCCAACCAGTATCTTTCACTTGGATCAGGAAAAAAAAACCAGGAGGAAATTATGCCATAGGAAAATATCTTGTGTTTCACACTACTTTACATTTTAAAAATCCCCTGCAATTTCAGCATACTCTGGCTCTTTGCTTTGTCATGCAACCAGAGACTAAAGACAGCTGGGGTTTTTTTTTTTAAGCAAAATGTTCCCCTTTATTACCTCATGGCACGGCTGAGTTTCTCGTAAGTCATGCTACTGTTGTTCTTCTTCTTTCCCCATAGCTGAGCCACTGCCTCAGATTTTAAGAATCGGAAGATGCCTTCTGACCGATCCTCCCATTTTATCAACCCAGGATTCTTCTCTGGATGAAGGAGAATGTCTCTGATAAACTCCCACAAGTGAGTTCCTCGAGGAGCTATAATGAAATAACGTTCAGAGGAAACATTATTTGTGTTGAAAAACAAAGGGTGAGGGGTATGAATTTTAAGAATTCCTAATATTTCTTTTAAAAAGTTCTCCCTGTACTTTCTTAGTCTGATTCTGAACCCTAGAGTTAATCATTGGAATTTGAGGGGGGGGTGTCAAAGCAGGAAATTGACATCAAAATTGCAGCCCCACCTCATTGTACATGCACATATTGGCAACACGCATAAAAAAGGCAGAGTCTGGATCTCAGCATTAAAATCCCCACCTTGCCTGTTTTAACCCTCCTGCACACCTAGCTGAACTCAAACCTTAGTTAATGTAATTAACTCATATTCTTAACTCAAAATTGTTCATTTATCACAAAACCTATGCCAGTAATCTTCCTATTCTGTGTATTTAATTAAAAATTTAATGTCTCTGATATTAAAATTTAAGGTTTTAGGTCAGTGATGGCGAACCTTTTAGAGACTGAGTGCCCAAACTGCAACCCAAAACCCACTTATGCATCGTCGGGTGCTGGGTGGGTGTGGCCTATTGGGTGGGTGTGGCCTATTGGGTGAGCGTGGCTGCGGTGGTAACAGCAGACTTGGTGAGACTAAAAAGTTCAATCAATCAATTCCAACTTTGCAAGATCTTTTTTTTCCCGCGAGAAGTTGAAATTGACTGATTGAACCTTTTTTTTTGTACACGGCGGCGGAGGCCTAAAGCGAAAAGGTTTTATAAAACCCAGCTGAAGGCCTAGGACTGGGGCAATGGCGTGCGTGCCCACAGAGATGGCTCTGAGTGCCGCCTCTGGCACCCGTGCCATAGGTTCGCCACCACTGTTTTAGGTTTAAAAAAAATACCACACAATCCAATATTGAAAATATATTTCTAAATTTTAACTTGTTGACCTAAAGAACAAATCAAGGAATGACTTATATTAATTTTTGCTCCAAAAGACGCATTAGGACTTATTTTCCGGTTAGGTCTTATTTTGGGGGAAATATGGTACTAAATGCATCTGTCTGGCTGACGATCTTAACTGGGGCTTATTTTGGGGGTGGGGCTTATATTGCAAGCATCCTGAAAAATCATGCTAGGGCTTGTTTTCCTGTTGGGTCTTATTTTCAGGGAAATACGTTAGTTTAAAAGGTCAAATATAGTACATTACGGAAAATGCATCCATGCAGTGAACTGGGATTAGTTAGTATTAACCTTGATTAATTTTTCTCAGGTTTTATCTTGTTATATCTGCTCAGGCTGCTTGATTAGTTTGAATGTATTATGTAAATTTAGAAAATTGTATAATTCACTAATCAAATTAAACACGTTGCACGAGTCTAGCCTATAAATAGCCTGCAGTTGAACTTCCATTTTGTTTTGTTCCAGAACAAGTGCATGAAACTTGATTTCACAGACTCACCGCATTTTATAAATAAGAGAAGCTCATTTCAGTTTGTTTTTTTTAAAAAAACTTGGCTGGCACCAACGGAGTTGAAAAGAAGTGTGGGAGAATTTTACCCCACAGGATGCATATACTCAGAAACAGAGAGCCACCCAAGAAACATAGTTCAATCCTAGTTTGTTCTGAACTTTATGAGAACTTCAACAATAAATATATAATTCTGCAATTTTTAGGAAATCATTCTTTTTCTCATCTGATCTGAGCCAAGGGGGGGGAAAATGAAATTTATATTCATTCATGTATATTCTGAGAAGTATTTAAAAGAAACATATAAATAAAGTTCATTTGAACAATCCAATCTGACATATAATGATGAAGATCGAAACTGAGAATCAGAGAGCTATAGCATTTAAAGAAATGGTAGAATAAAATAAAAGTATTATTTTAATTATTTTCACTCTGTAAAGTGAAGGGTGTTTTAAGTTCTCCCAAGAATACAATTCCTGAAAAGGCCTAACAACAACAACTACAACAACAACAATAATAATAATAATAATAATAATTTTATTTTTTAGATATTTAAATATTCACAGTGACCTTTTCATGCTTGATCACAGCCTGCCCAAAATACTTTATTTGCCTGAAATAGATCACTAGATGGAAAATGACAGGCTTAGCTCCTACAGTACCAAGGCTAACCATGTTATCAGAATTTTATAAGTATCCTCCATGAAAGTAATCATTGTTTTCATAATCATCACTTACTGTCCTTCTATATCCACTTCACTACATTCATTCGAGCAGTGCCCACTGATTCTACCTCACCATTAAATTTCCTGGGAAAGCCACATCTTACTATTAGTGCATTGGGGCTACATTTACCAAAGAGAAACCTGAAGAATCAATGGCAGAAACATATATAGTCATTTCCCCCCTCTATTTGATATTAATTCCAAAGGGAAAATATTTGAGGAAGGCACTCGGCCTAATTACAGATTAGACACGCTTCTGTTGTTTTCATTCAGTATACATCCCATAAGTGTTTAATGTCCCCCTCACAGGGTAGAAATCCAAGAATAGCTGTCTTACTGTGTTTCTTGTTGTGTGATTTTGGAGGGTGATCTTGTGAAATTTTCTTCCCTTCTGAAGACTCCTCTGCAACAGAAAAGGAAATCAGTTCTTGCCTCTATAGATCTGAATTTGTTCTAGAGATGATGATACAATGAATGTACTTAAAAATATGTCCCATTCGTCAGCCATACGATCCTCAAGGCCTCAATTGGGAGCAACATAAAACAAAATGGTCTTCAGTAATTTCAGTAACAAGTTTTTCAAAGCAATTAGGGGTAAGTCAATTGGCCCTACCTCAAAAAAATTGCAACTTTCACAAAGCAGCTAACATTGAAAATATCTGCAAGTCATGGAAAAGGTGAAACTCTCTCTTCACAATGACAGCCCATCCAAACTTCATAGAATCATAGACACTTTGAGTTCAATTTTCTGCTTAGTGCAGGAATTCAAATTAAATGTAAATCCACCTGAATATATTGAGTACGCAATGAATGGGAGACCACCGTCACTCTAGGTAATTGAATGGTTCTTTCATTCAATCACATTCTGCAACTTAAATCTATTATTTCATATCCTATATTCTTAATTTTCTTTTGTGTGTCATCTTTTCAGGTATTTGAAGAGTGTTATTACTCTTAGTGTTCTCTTCTCAGAGGTAAAAATATCCACGTTTCTGCCTTTTTGTAACTTATCCCTGTTCATATGAATCCTTCTTAAAGTTGGTACCTAGGAGTCAAAATAATACTTTAGGAAGGATCTATGAGTACAGAATAAATTAGAACTATTATTTCCTATGATTTAGAAAACTATACTTTTGTTGATATAAACTTAAATTTCCTTTCTTTGCAGCCATATCTAGTGTTGACTCACATATAATGTGTAAACTATTACTATTCCACAAATATTATTCTCAAACTAGATAGCTGGGTAGACTACCATTTGATTCTTATTTCCTAAATGAAAGCTTTTTCATTTGCCTCGGTTTAATTTAATTTTGTTGTTTTCAGCACATATTTTAACCTATCATGATTCAATGTTGTGTCATTGGCATATCTGACAAGCAGTCCCCTTATCTCTTCATCTAAATAATTAAAAAGTACAGGGCTTAGCATCAAACACTATGGTTAAGTTTTATGAGAAATAGTTGATGAATATTCTTTGAGTAAAACATTTGAGCCAGCTATTTATCTGTGTAATTGTCATGTGATCTAGACTACACTTAACTAAATTACTAAACAGAATATCATGGGTTATTTTGACATATATTTTGTTGAAATTGAGATACCTTGATTCAACAACATTTCCACAATCTATTAAATAATTCAAAGTTTTCTAACAATCTGCTGAATAGATTCAACATTTTCATTGCATATTCTTTACATCTGTCATCTTAAGTCCTATTATTGCTAATAGCCATAAGCCATCCATTTATATATTCTTTATAAATAATTAAAAACTTCTTCTTGAATAATATGTACTATATAATCGAGCTGTGGGCTCACTCATGAGGTTAGGCTGCAACCCTTTTCCCATCTAAATCAGTGGGGCTTATTTCTAAATAGGCATGATTAACATAGTACTGTTTATCAATCACTGTGTGAAACAATATTTTATTTTCTCAGCTTTGAATGCAATCAGCTTCACCTAGGCTCTCACGTGAAGTGTTAATACCACTTTACAATGCCTTGGTAAGGCCACACTTGGAATACTGCATCCAGTTTTGGTCACCGCGATGTAAAAAAGATGTTGAGACTTTAGAAAGAGTACAGAGAAGAGCAACAAAGATGATTAGGGGACTGGAGGCTAAAGCATATAAGGAACGGCTGCTGGAATTGGGTATGTCTAGTTTAA